TATTCAGTCTGGTCGTGATTAGAATACCTTTTGGGAAGCAGGGCTACATGGAATTCAATGGAATCTTGAGGCTTATTGAGATGATTGTGGCATAATTGAATTAGTATTCAAGATCTACTGGTAGTTCTTAAACCTACTAAATTTGGATTAAGGGAATTTTTACACAAGATTAAGTATTCGGATGAACACTAAGGGTTTTAATGGGGGTGGATTTACATTGAAAACTTATATCCCCCATTAAATAACCTTATACTTTCCTTTAGCCGAAATTACCGCCATAACAATGATTTGATTTGTATCATTATTTCGTTTTATTTGGCCCTTGATGCGAAGATTATCTTTTTCCCATTTATGTTGCCACAGCAATGAATGCCGTTTCACTATCACCTGATTCGTTGCATTTCTAGGTCTCATGAGTATCCTTGATGAAGATTAGGATTGGGAGGTTATCAGTAGATCTCGAATAAGAACTGTAGCCATCTTAAGCCAGCAAAGGTGAAGCAGGTTTTATAGTGAAGCTTCCCACAATAATTTGAATAGGGTTTATAATTAAAAGTTACTATCAACCATAGTTGCACGTAGTCTCGGCTACCAATGCTGCGTAGCATATGTATGTATGGCTGTTGTCATCTTTAATTTTGACCCCATCTTGTTGCAGCAAATGAACACCTGAGTACGACAAAAAGGCTGATCACGATTCATGCGCGCAATATATGCGATGTATTTAACCTGGACTGATAGTTGAATTTTCCCCAATCATATGAGTTTCCATTGAATTTCAACTAGCCTTGCTTCTCAAAATGTATTATCGTCCATCTTAACGAAATAGTGTGAATACATCTGATATATAAATAAATAAATATTTATATATATATGATCTCCTGGTTGCTTTTGAGCAACATATAAGTAATCAAGCAGATTTATATTGCAAATAAAACTTTGCTTTATTGGCAATGCCACCACAGAATGTGATATTGAGAAATACCTGGCCTCTTCTTGAAATTCGTACCTGCCCCCTGTAACCCAATGGCACTTTTGGCGATGTGGTGTAGTCATAAAAATGTGGAGGTTATGCGCTGTACAGTCATGGTTTGAGTCCCGTTGGAGGTGCTGATGAGACCAGCTCAGGGTAGCTCGAGACTGCAGTCCCTCCTGAGTAAAAATACCTTTTTGCAAAGCAAAGCAAAGCAATGAAAACTGAAGATTTAATCATGTTATTGTGGGAGAATTTAGTTGATAATCCTTCAGCAACATCTCATAAATATGATCTACCGGTAGTCTTAAATGCCTACTTCTAAAAGAAAAATATGCACCAAATATGAGAGTTATTCACCCTATTTCGTTTAAGATGATGAAGAACTGGCTGTTGAATTTGTCCACGAAAGCATATGATATGGGAAAATGCCCGGCCTTCCTTGAAATTCACATCTTGCCTGTAACCAATGGACACTCGTGGAAAAGTGACGCTATTATATGATGCAATGTCATCGTTCGAATCCCGCCAGCGGCAGTCGCCTCTGGTTGAGAACAACCTTTGGGAAAGCACGGCTCTATGAAATGGAATGAAGACAACAGCTCTGTTCATATAATTGTGGGGAAATGCAACTCCCGATCTTTCATCACCTTAAACGAAAAAGAGTGAACCGGTGGTCTCGAACACCTGCTCATTCGCGAAAAAAGATGGTACCAATTGCTTTGTGTTTCACTTTTCAGTGGTATGACCCTTCGGGCTCCGCTTCTGCCGGCAGCGGGATTTCTACTCTGCTCAGCCAAGAGGTCGACTTTCAGACACGTCTGCAACAGCACCAGAACCAGCAACAGCAACAGCAACAGCAACAGCAGCAGTCGAACATGGCCGCCCTCTCCACCGCCTACCATCAGGCGCTGGCGGCAGCCGCGGCTGCGGCGACCGGAGGCGGAGGCTGCAGCGGCGGCGGCGGCGGCGGTGGCGGCGGCAGCCTCTCCGTCAGCTCCACATCGCCGACCCTCTCGACCACGACCAGCGCTGGCGCGGCCTCACTCGGTCTGATGCGTGGCTCCGGCGGTACCGGCGCTGGCGCCTCGGGACCCGGGGCCGGAGGAGGAGGAGGCGGACCGGGCGCCGGAGTCGGAGCCGGTGTTGGTGTTGGTGTCGTCTGTTCCTCGGCGAACGGAGGCGGAGGAAGAGCGGCAACGCCTGTCGGCGGATTGTCGGCGTCGGCGTCGGTGTCGGCCGGAAGTCCTGGGTCCTTGGGCTCCTCCTGTATCCTCTCCAGCAGCCCGTCTGCCGGGCAGGTGCCCGGCGGTCTCTCCGCCAGCATGTTGGCCGCCGCTTCCGGGTATGTGTATTAGTCATGGGCCTTGGCGACAGAATGTGTCATGTTGTCCGCTTGACGAAAACATGCACGTCGGACAGAAGTTTGGCCTTAGCCTCGACGGCAGAACTGGACTCGGTCCGCAGTGTCGCCCAGGCCACATGTCGTCTTCACTTCGTGAACGGCTCTGGCTAACGAGAGAATAAGATACATTTTAATGCTTTGAGTGGACAAAGTGTGATGACACGAGGAGAAACTGTGTTTTGATGAATCTCGTGAAATGTCATTGTTGAAGGGACTTTCCTTTCGTATGAAAGTGCACAGGGAAGAGATTCGTAGGCTGATTTCACCAGAAAGAGGTCGGATGAATGCCGATGTTCTGCAGCCGTTTGGCTTTTATACGACCTTCAGGTTGACTCAGTTCCCGAGACCTCCTCCTTCGTTTCGAGTGAACATCATCAGAGCTGGGTCTCATTCCTGTAAAAGTGTCGAGTTAAAACCAGCAAAAGAAGACTATCCGGCTCTATCTTACCTCTTGGTATGCAATTAAGCCAAAAGAAAATAAAAAATCTGGATAGATATAAAGTGAATTAAGTAGCGTTTTCGTGACTACCAGTATATCACTAATATAAAATGTATTCACCCAATTTCGTTTAATGTGATGAAGGACTGGTAGAAGAAAAATTTTCCCACAATGATATAAGTTGAGCTGACGTTTCCATTGAATTTCACATGGCCTTGCTTTCCCAAAAGTTGTTCTCATCCAGGCTCCAGTCCTTCATCACCTCAAACGAAATTAAGTGAATACATCTCATATTACTGACTTACTGGTAGTCATGAAAACAATACTTAATTCGAAAAATAAAGAATAGTAGTCAATTGTTATAGCAGATATACGTTTGCTTCATCGACAATTCCACCAAAAGAATATGATATAGCAAAAAGGACTGGCTTTCCTGAAAATTCACATTTGCCCTGTGACCCAAAAGGCGCTCGTGGCAGTGTGGCCGAGTGGTTGTGGTGTCAAGCTCCCATCCTGCGGTTCGACTCCCGCTGAGGGTGTTGATAAGACCGATGCGAGGTTGAAACTGCAGTCCACTGGTGCCTGGATGAGAACAACTTTTGTAAGCAAGGCTATGTGAAATTCAATTGATGCGTCAGTTCTACTCATATCATTGTGGGAAAATTCTTCTACCAATCCTTCATCACCTTAAACGAAATTGGGTGAATAC